ATCATCGTCTATTATAATTGAATCGAATTTAACCTCGCATTTTGGTACTGAGGCAGCTCTTGCTTCAACTATAGAAGTAGTCAGAGATTCAAGAGCATAATTAATTTCATCTTTGGTTTGCAAAGGAATGTTTGGATCGAAGTTATATTCCATAAATGTTCGATATTGCTCCCAATCAGCCCTATGGTAATTGAAAGTAAAGCTGTTGGGATTAGAAATTATTTCTTGGGATATTTCAAAAGTTACTGGAAGGTGATCAGAACCGAAGTCAGCATGGGTAACCAATTGGCTACAAAGTTGACATGAATAAGTTAAGACCAAATCAAAAGTTGAGGGATTTCTTGCAGAAGAAAAGCATGTTGGGCTGTTTGGATATTGAATAGTGTAATAACCTGCAGAACAATCATCAAACAGAATATTACCATTGGAATTGCTTTGAGCATTATTCCATGAGCGGTGTTTTGCATTAAAATCACCAATAATGAAGAATTTAGACCTATGACGGGTAAGTTTCTGGAGGTTACCCTTGAGAAAATTCTTTTGCTGGCCTACGCATTGGAATGGCAAATAGGCTGCTATAAACGTAAGTTGTCCAAATTTTGTTTCAACAGAAACTCCCAAAGTTTCAAAAACTTTGGTTTCAAATGAAGAAAGAATTTTATGCTTGATTCGTCTATGAATAATGATGGCAACGCCACCACAGGGTCCATCAAGACGATCATTTCTATAAATCAAGTAATTTGCGTCCTTCTTAACCTTATGGTCAGGTTTAAGGAACGTTTCAGTTATAACGGCAATATGCACGTTATGAACTCTCAAAACATTAAATAGCTCGTCTTCATTATTTTTAAGAGATCGAGCATTCCAATTTAAAATGTTTAATGCTTTAAAATCCATTACTGAATTTTAAAGTCATAACAATATTATTAGCAAATTTTACTCCAGTTTGAATAGCATCAAACATGGAGTTAGATTTAAGCATATCAGAAATCATATCAATTAATGAATTCTGTAAAAATTCCATTTTAGGGGCAGTAATGCTTCCTAAGTCAAAATTGTCAAAATTTCCGTTAGAACGCTGGTTAGTATTTTGATTTCTACCCGCTGCAATAGCAGCATAGGTAGCTCCATTAACTCGCTGAACATTGTTAGCAGCGAGGGGAGTAGGTACAGATGAAACATTTGAAGCAGGGGTGATATTTGTACCTACGGGTACGAATGTGGAATTTGTTCCTCGCTGACCGTTGTTAACAGCAGAGGAATTTGTACCTGGTCGGAAACGTGGAGCGTTTCCTACCTGTCGGTTAGAACGAGATTGTAGGATCGCTTTGCGAGTCGTACATTCCCAAAAATTGGATTTGTGGTTTTCACCACAATTTGAACATTTAAATTTCTTAGGATCTTCCTTCACAGGACAGTCGTCCTTTGCGTGAGAGGAATCACCACAATTCATGCATTTAGCTGGCATGTAGCAATTTTTAGTTCCGTGACCCCATCCCTGGCACTGAGTGAGGTTTTGGAAATTTCCTCCAGTCTTCCTGAAGTGTTCCCACTTCACTCGGACATGGAGCATAAGGCTAGCTTTTTCTAAGGCCTTAAGGTTGTTTAGTTCACTAGACTTGAAGTGAACTAAATAAAAATCATTAGAAATCCCGCGCGAATCGCCAGGACGGGATTTCATTTTCATTTTGATTACTTGGAGTGGCACAACTCCAAGTAATTTTGCCAGTTCATCTTTGATCTGATCCAGGGATTCACCACTGGGCAGTCCTTTCATGACAACCTTGAACACACGTTCAGTTTTGGTGTCGTAAGTAAAAAATTTGTGCTTCTTCTCAGTAAGATACTTGAGAAGACATTTAAATCCGTCCAAGGTTTCAGCCAATACACGGCATTCACCCCGACGTCCAATTTGTAGTGAAAACTTAACTTTCACGAAATTCAAAAGTTCCATGTGAAGAGCATGGAAATCGGAAGTGGTTATAACAATAGGGGAATCTTTTCCTTCTTGGCATTAAGCCGGGAAAGTTTACTAGAATTGTTCTTAGATGATGGATCATTCTCATCATCCGTGAGCAAATCAAATTGATTACTCTAATTAATTTCATCAGAACGGGGATCAAGAGTTTGCCCCTTTCTTTTGCGTTTAGGCACCATGGCGGCAGTAAATTTTTATCCAAATCGACTTCCAAGCAGATTACTATAAGAATCTGAAGGATCGAAGAGGAATTTTCCAAATCGATATCCAAGAAGGATTACCTCGGGTAGGGTCCAAACAAGGATCGAATAGGAATAAGAGGAGTTGAACAAGGTAGAAAATTTTTACAGGTTGAGCACTGAAAAGTGCTGTTTAAATTTGTTGTAGCTTTAGGTAGTAGTAACACTTCCTTAAGCAAAATGCAAATAGATCCGCACGGAAAGAGAGCACGATGCGGACTGACCTGAAAAGGCATATCGCCAGCTTGCTGATGCCCATGCTTCACCTATTTCGATTGTCCATCTCGAGTGGTACATTTCCATCTTGTTGGAAATTCGCACATATGTTTCCTATCCACAAAAAGGGCAGCAAACGGGATGTGGACAATTATCGCGGAATTACGTCGTTGAGTGCAGTTTCGAAGTTATTCGAGTTAGTCATCATGGAGCCTCTACTCTCTCATTGTAAGCAGTATCTAAGTGGTGATCAACACGGCTTCACTTCCGGTCGTTCTACTTCCACAAATCTGCTGTGTTTGACATCGTATCTTACGGAAAGCATGGCAGAGAGGGCTCAAACAGACGTCATATACACCGACTTGTCAGCTGCCTTCGATAAGCTAAACCATGCCATCGCGATTGCCAAGTTGCATAGACTTGGGGTCATCGGCAACCTCTTGCGATGGTTTCGTTCATATCTCACTGATCGGCAACTGATGGCTGCCATTGGTGACAACTGGTCCAATATCTATCTAGCTACGTCAGGAATACCTCAAGGAAGTCACCTGGGACCTTTGATTTTCTTACTCTACTTCAATGACGTGAACTTGGTCATCGAAGGCCCACGACTATCGTATGCAGACGATTTTAAAATCTACCTACGAATCCACTCGATTGATGACTGTCACTTCCTTCAACGTCAGTTCGAAGCCTTTGCCAGCTGGTGTAATTTGAACCGAATGGTGGTTAACCCCACTAAGTGTTCAGTGATCACTTTTACTCGGAAGAAAGAACCAATCACATTTGAATACAAACTTATCGGCACTGTAATCGACCGTGTGAACCATATGAAAGATCTGGGTGTTATTCTGGATTCTCAACTTACGTACAAGCAGCACATCTCGTACGTTGTCGACAAGGCGTCTAGGACATTGGGATTTATCTTCAGGATAGCAAAGAATTTCTCCGATATCTACTGTTTGAAGTCACTGTACTGTTCCTTGGTGCGATCCATTCTGGAATATTGTTCTGTGGTCTGGAGTCCAAGCTACAACAATGGTGCTGAGAGAGTTGAGTCCGTTCAACGCCGTTTTCTTCGATTCGCTCTGCGGAAACTGCCTTGGAGAGACCCATTTCATCTGCCCAGCTATGAAAGTCGTTGCCAGCTGATTGATCTGGAGCCTCTCAAAACTAGAAGAGACACCTCTAGGGCCCTGTTCATTGCGGACACTTTACAAGGTAGAATTGATTGCAGTGCAATCTTGGGGCAAGTCAACATTAACATCCAACCCCGTGCGCTACGTAACAACATTTTGCTGAGATTGCCACTTCAGCGCACAAACTATGGCATGAACGGTGCAATAGGTGGGCTGCAACGAGTGTTCAATCGAGTCTCGGGCATCTTCAATTTCCATATGCCTCGACAGCTGCTAAGAAGATACTTCTCATCGTTCTTTTCTGGCACAGTTAACCGTGAATGATTGTGTGTTTTATTTATGTATTTTATTCTTAGTTTTTATTTTTTGATTTACCTATATAAGTTACTTAAATCATCATTGGGGCTATACACAGCCTGTTGATGCAGACAAATAAATAAATAAATAAATAAATTGAAAAACAGTTCATTTTAACAAATTCGTAGAAAAATTGCCAATCGATTGGCTTGTTTAGAATTAAAATCCATCCGCTATTGATAGAGTTCTAAGTGGTCAAAACCTGACCAATTTTCGTAACGCGCAAGATTTTGGTTTTTTTTTTACGGTTGCACCCCCAATAAGTTGCAGAAAGACGTAATCCCGCATAAAAAAACAAATGAAGCACTCTTGACGAATCCATTTAGTCTGCCTTTTTCTGTATGCCAAAATATGTCAAAATACGATTCAACGTGTTTTGGCGGAATTAAAACCCGTATGATGGAATTCGAATCAAGAAGCAGAGCGCACTGGGCAAAAATTGACAAAACCTCGACAAAATTGAATATATCGGCTGCCAAACGGTTTCAGTCAACATGTTATACATATTCTCAAAGGAAAAACTCTGCTGAATCGATTTGTGGGCTAATGCTCATTTGTTAATAGCTTTTCACTCAGTTGTTGAAATTTCTTTTTCTTTTAAGTAATTGATAGATTAGAATCATAGTTTACTATAAATATGCAAAGAGTAGGTGAATCTTAACATTTAAATCAACACCAATGAATTTTAACCCTTAAAGCCCGAGATGTGCAGCGAGGAATTCTCACTTCATTTTTACAACGCAAAAACAAATACAGTTTATTACTAAAATAAAGATCTTCTTTTTTAGCTATCTATAACAAGCTCAACCTCTATTTTATCTGCTGCTTCAAAAATAAATACGTTTCGTCAACTGTATGCAAAGTTATTTGCAAATGAGCAGTTCGTGACCAAAACTGTGTATGCCAAGCATGGTGACAATGACTCATCATTCCTTTGCGTTGGGAATCACCGACCGTAGAATCGGAAAGAATCAAAACAGTCAAAGAAATATGAGATTGTTGCTCATGCCCTCTCATTTCTCTCCTTTACGACGGATTAAAATAAATCCCCAATTCAAAGCAAGGAAGCATATGCGCTCGGTTCAGTAGTGTTTCAACCATCAATGAGATAGAACAGTTTTCAACCAAAATGGGTAGTGTGCTACTTATTTCGAGCATCCTGGTGCTAGTACTGAAATCAACGTTCGCACTTTGCGGCACGATGAATCAAGGTTTTGGGTACGAAATACTGGTAACTAAAATTGAAACACAGGAGGAACGTTTTACCAAATTAAGTCGTACACTCCAAAACAGCACTACTTCAATTATGTCCGAGTTAAACAGTCTACGCGACCTGATAAAATCTCAGCAGAATTCATTACAAAATGTGTACGACTCTTGTGATAAGGTTCCGTCGAAAATATCTGGTGTGTTCAACGTGCAACTCAATCCCCAGGAGACGGCGCGTGTCTATTGTGACCAGAATTATGACGGTGGTGGCTGGACTGTGATTCAGTGGCGTTTCGATGGTTCTACTAACTTCTACCGGGGTTGGACGGAATACAAGCGAGGATTTGGCAATCTGAACGGAGGAGAATTTTGGCTGGGTTTGGATATTATCCACCAACTGACCTACTCTGGACCGCATGAGATGGTTATATTGTTGGAAGATTTCGAAGGGAACTCAACCTATGCCAAGTTGAATCGATTCGAGATGGCTGGAGAAGAGGTGGTCTACAAAGTGACGAAGGCTGATGGGTATAGTGGAACCGCAGGAAACTCGATATCGAGAATCAAAAACAACATGTTTAGTACATTTGATAAGGACAGCGATACTCATCCTGGTAATTGTGCTTTGGACTATCATGGGGCTTGGTGGTATTCGAAGTGCCACTCCAGGTTAGTGTTTATATTGAACTGATTACAAATAAATATACTAATGTACTGTTTTGTTATAGCAGTAATTTGAATGGCAAATATTCGAAAGGACAAACCTCGGAATACGCTACAGGAATGGTGTGGAGCACATTCCGTGGCTATCATTATGCACTGAAATCTTCTAAAATGATGATCAGAAAGAAGAAATAAATATAGGATCGACTGAATAAATATAAGTAGAGTAAAACTTATGTTGATTGTTTGTTTTAAATTATTGGTAATGCGTTATTCAGCCCATATAACTACACCAACTATACTTCATCTACTTCAACTTTATTGTTCCAAGTTTGGGTCTGCTTTCAAATTTTAGAAGTTAACAGGGAAGCGAATAATTTTCCGCTGAGGTTCAAAGTGGAACAGATGACAACATATCAAGAAGACTGGTAACTCTCGCGTTTTCTCATACGACCATCATGAGACAGCCACGATCGCTTAATTTGCTCCGAATGATTTTTTTAGCTACAGATACGTACGTTTAGACTACCTGATATGTTGGTCTGATTAAAGCGGACTGCTTGATAATTTTGTCGGATGCAATGTTCGGATGCGTTCACACTTTTTCGACATGATGATTAGATTTGACGTTTGATTTGTCGAACGAAGTAGGTTTGTGTTTAATTTTCATTCGACTCATTCAGCAAAATAGACGCAAGAGAGGTGAAAATAGTAAAAAAATTTTCCTAAAATTTCACAAATTTCATGAACCGCTAAAGATTGCTTGATTTGTGTTTTGAAGACATCCGGCATGATGACAGTAAACCGATTTCCTATTTCACTATTCAATATTGTCCTGTGTATGATGTGACTGATTTTTATTTTCCAGTGTGATTGGCAGAAATATGTCGTTATGACTTTGATCATGGCTTGGTCAAGAAAACAGTGTTTGTATAATACGTAGCGTGTAAGAATAAGCCCGCCAAACAGCAGGTCGGAGAGCCTACTAAGAATGGTTTAGAGCTTCAGAGAGGTTCAGATATCTACGGAGAAATTTATTGAGCTTAAGGGTAGTTCGTAGATCTTGAGAACAGAACTACAAAACTTCAGAAATTTTTCAGAAATTTAATGAAATTAAAAATTCACAGAATTTCACAGAAGTTTGGAGATCTACTGAAAAATTATTGAACACCAAAAAGGTTCGTAGCTCTTCAAAACAAAGGCGCATAACTTTAAAAAAAATTACAGATCTTCTGAAAAAATAACAAAAATGGTCATAGATCTTCAGATAAATTTGAAGACCTTCAAGAATGTGTGCAGATTTTCTAATAAATTTTAAGAAACTCAGAAATTTTAATGGATCTTCAGTGAAATATGCAGAACTTCAGGGAAGTTTGACGATTTTAAATAAAATATTTATACGATTTCAGGGAAATTTGTAGATCTTGAGAGAAACATGTAAAACTTCAAGGCTCAACAATTTTCTATTTTGGAGAACTTCAGGTTAGAAGATCTTCAGGGAAGTTTTCAAATGTTCAGGGTAGCCCGAGAGCCTACAGAGGAATTTAAAAAAAAACTTCAGACAAGCTTGCAGATCTACTGAGAAATTTATTGAGCCTCAAGGTAATAGGTAGATCTTAAGATTAAAACTTCAGAGCTTCACTTTACAGAACTTAAAAGGCATTTGCATAACTTCAGAAGAGAATATATTAAGAGAAATCTGTATACCTGCAAGGAATTTTGTAGACCTCCAGAGACATTTAGTAGTTCAGAAAGCTCCACAGTGTTAGAAAACTGTTAGATCTTCAGAAAAATGCGTAAAATTTTAGAAAAGTACTTAAATTCCAAGAACAAACCTCAGCGAAGTACGGAAGTCAAAGATTCACTCCATGGAAGTTGGAAATAGATTGATCTAAAAAACTTCAGAGAAGTCCGTAGACCTTAAGAGAAGACTGCAAAAAGACAGAAAAAAATTGCAAAACTTCAGCAAAACTCATAGAACATCGGGAAAGTTCGCCGATCTTTAGAAGTATTTATACAACTTCAGAGAAATTCGTGAATCTTCAGTAGAGCTTTGGGGAATTTCAAAGAATTTCAGATAAATCTTCAGAACTTTATGAAAATCCAAGAAATTTGGATGAATTTCGGAAATCTACTGAGACATTTATTGAACTTCAGGGCAGTTCGTAGGTCTTCAGAGCATAAATACAGTATTCAGAAAAGTTCAAATAGTAGATAGCAAATCTACTGAAAAATCTGCAGACGTTTAAATAAATTTTCAGAATTTTATTGAGGTTCTTGGATGTTAAGAGAAATTTGCTGATCTTTAGAGATATTTGTACTACTTCAGAAAAATAAGTAGTTCTTCAGAGAACTTCCTTCAACTTCCGAGAACTCAACAATTGCTAGATACATTTTTTTTATACTTAAGAAAATGGTGCAGATGTTCAGAGATATTTGCAGATATTCATTGAATCATGAAAATCTACAGATAAACATACAGAACTTTCGAGTAGATTATTAGAAATTTAGTGAACATCAAAGATAATTGTTGATATTTAAGGATCTTAAATCTGCATGGATTTAGGAACTTTGTAGAATATTAGAGAAATTTGCAGAACTTCTGAAGAACACACAGGATTTCTAAGAAATCTGCAGAACTACCGGGACATTTGCAGATCTTCAGGGACGTCCGAAGGTCTTCAGAGAAATATGCAGTATTGAGATCTTAACATAAATTGTCAGAACGCAAGGAATCATGTAGATCTATTGAGAACTTTTCCCACTAGCTTGTTGAAAGTTGGTATCGACATCATGGCGAAGTTTTGAAATCCTTTTTCGTCTTCATATCGCAGTTCTTGAAGGACAATATGGGCCAGATCCCTGCCGGTGTTCCTCCTGAGCAACCATTCCCTACTCCACAAAGTTCACCTTCTCCTTCTAATTTTATTTCAAATAATAAAAGCAAATACGCCTGCCGAAGGTAGAGCAATTTTCCGGCAATTTATTATGGAAGTATTAACTTTTGATTCCTGATACAATTTTGTTTTGAAATCTAAATTGACAGTTCTTTCTACATGTGCAAGCAGTGTGAACACCAACAAACAGGGGGGTTCGAAAAAGTGTGTCGAAGGTAAAATCGAGTAGATTTTTCATTACGGCGGCGATCAAAATCAGACCAAGAAATCAGATAGTCTAAAAGGACCTTAAGATTGCAGATTCAAAAGCGAAGTTTGTACACGGATAATCAATTTGCTCACAGCTGTGAGTAAATCCACTGTTCACGAAAGTGAGACTTTTGCGTACCGAGATAGAGGGCTGGGATCAACCCGAGTTCCGGGTATTGTAGGAAATGCCACTATCTATCGGCATAATTTTACACTTTACTTAACGTATTTTACTGGAAATTGAGCTTGAGCTTGAGCTTGAGCTTGATTGACCGCCCACGGTTGCTACTCTGTTATTGCCAGATCAGCTGTAATTACACAGAGAAGCAATAGACGATGCTTGGGACTAGCAATCATCCTCAATGTGTAAAAACTGGTGATCTTAAATTAGGCAATACCAGCGCCGGCCGCGCCCGAACACAGGTCAAGAAAGGAATGGGAAGGATTGTGTTGACATGACACTCGTTTTGATGGAAGCCGAGAACACCTCTGCACTTCCACGAGGAATCACTGGGATGTTGGATAAGAGGGTTGGGTTTGCAGCAGGGTTCGTTTTGGTAAACGATAAGCTGAATTGATGTTCTAACGATCATATAACGCGAAGGAGCTTGGGACTAAACCCACGGTCCTCTGCTCAGTAAGCAAAAACCTTTGCCACCAGGCAGACGAGCACCTTTTTAATCACCGAGTTGCTGTTATTACCATGTAGTCATATTAACAAATAAAACGATTGACGAATCTTGAATGTGGATGGGCTTGAGATTAGACTCATGATGTTCTGCTCAGTAAGCAAAAACGGTTGCTCTAAGGCCTCCGAGCCCCTCATATCACATAATACCGTTGCTCAAATTTTTGTATCCATTCAAACCCGGAACCAACGACAACAACGAGTTTCGCAAAATACACGATACACAAGCGATTGTACCATAAATCTTTTTGATATGTAAGGACCTGGGACCGCGTTTTTCTGCTCAGTAAGCAGGCCACTGTAACCGACGATCTTTCAAATCCGAAAACTAAAAACTACGAAAAAGTACTTAGGCCTTCATTAAGTTCCACTTTCACGCGACGTTCAATGTTTCAATTTGCTCTTTACGTATTGTTCAGGCTATAAATAGGCCCTTTTCAAAAGTTACGCGAGAAATACGCACCATCGTCGCCTACCTCGCAAAACTGGTTCCAAACGACAACAAAGGCATAATCAACGATGGATTGTTGAACTCTGCTGGCTGGTGTAGTGCACAGCAAAAAAAAAAAATGTAATATCGATCAACGTAATTCAAGCTGATGTATGAAATAATGATGTAATTGTAATTTTGTAATTTATCAGCACACACCCTGGTCGACCACTGTAAACCAATCTGCCGTTAAGCGAGTGTGTACCTACTGAAACCTGGCCGTAGGCCTATGCTAGACCGTATAGCATAACGACCTTCTTCCACTAGCAGGCCTGTTTCTGTTTGCACAGACAGTCCCACTAGTTTCCGATACATTTATAGGGGATAGTAGGAGATTAAAAGAATGGAGAAGAGTTATTGTTTTGCTGAAAAGAGAGAAACAGAACTATACGAAATTAAACCTTCTGAAAAAAAAGATAAGTCTATTATTTTGGTTAGTGATCGTTTAGATTTGGGTCACCCCACGTTGTGTTTAGGTTAGTATAAATAAATAATACTATATAGTCATATAAATCACCACAGCTCATTATCTTCAGCGTTATCGGCGTTTCTGGATCTTTAGTTGCCTCTGTGATATACTTACTTGCGGCATACTATTTTGGGAGTGTATATGAGCGTGTACCATGTACGGTAGCTCATCTCTCATCGTGATGGTGGGACATAGTAGACAAATTAGAGAGAAAACAAGGAGGTATTAGTATTAGTTATATGTAAACAAACAAAACAAAAGAAGAGAAGAGGAAAGAAGAGCAGAAAAATAAAAGGGGATAAAGTAGATAACAAAGAAAAGAAACGTAGGCAGATTATTAGAAAAGGCATTATCCGAGACTCATCAATCAAATGTCACTCCCGCCGAGATCTCAGCGAAACCCCCTCCCCACCGAGACCCGCACAGC